TAGCCTTGGTCCTTAGTAATATCTTAAGTCTTCATAAGTACAGTCATAGAAACATAGGATGTTAGACACAAGGGTACCCTTAGAGTTCATTGGCACAAACTCCTAATTTAAAGATGATGCGCTGAGATGGGAGGCTTGGGTGAATGTTCATCTCAGAAATCCAGATCCAGAACCAGAATTTGAGACTCCTTTCTCTTAGGCCAGCACTCTTTCCCTTGTGTTACTTCATGAATTGTCGTGTTTTCCTCTAATACTTTTTTTTTGAAGAAGAGACCACGTCTTTTACTTTTTTGTAGATTGAAAGAATTCATTTAGAGGATTTATCTAAGAGGCGTAGCAGTGAGTAAGCCTTTGCCCCAACATGGAAAATAGCGATGAAATATTGATGAGGTAGTATCTCTCCAGGTTTCAGTGTTAAGAAGGATTCAGAGGCGACATCTGGACTTAACAGGAAAGAATGCCATGGCTGACATCTGCCTTTGGTGACATCTGCCTTGGGTATAAGAGAGGGGAAAGCAATACATATGTGAAATATGTACTTTTTCCTCTGACTGATAACCAGTCCTCTTAACCATAGGGCATGAACTCCTGGGAAAGAGGCACGGAGATGGGAAGGACATTGTGGACATCTGTCCAGGAACAAGTGCAGGAGAATCATCCCAGCTGCCGACGTGGGGATGAGGTGCCTACCTGACTGTCTCTTTTTTTTAAACCCTGGAGAGACGGGCACATCGTAGGTGTCCAAGAAGGATATGTAATTGATTGAAAGTCAGAATATCAACAGATATTTCCGCAACAAAACCTTTCATCTTTCTTTGGTAAGGCTATGCCAATCAGTACGTGGCACTTAGTGGGTGCCTTAAAATAATTCCTTGTGGAATAAAAATGTGACCTCAAAGAGGAACATGAGTGTTTAGATGGTCAATGCACAATCCCAATGCACATAAAACCGAGACTATTGTACCCTGATGGCTGTCCTGCCTAGGTGGAACGCCATCTGCAATTCCTTAAACCGCCCCTCAACGCGGCCAGATGGCACAAAAGAAAAAGGGGAATTCAGAAAGCCTTCCTCCGGCACAAGGGATTTTGTGAGTCAGGCTGCGGGGAGAGTCTGACTCCGCTGGACTTCCATTGTGTATGCCGCACTTCTTCCGCGGGTTCACTCGCATGATGTCAGGAGTTCCGGGGTCAAGATCGCGTGGGGCACGGATCCAGTGCTGACTCATACCGAGTGGAAGAGTCTATGAGATAATTTGGTTGTGAGCGGTAGGAATGTGACTGCTGATCACAGAGGAAAAGGGTGACCGAGGTGTAAGTCTGTCTTCCTGACTACCTTCTCAGGACTGGGGATGGCTGGAGGCATGGCTGAAATCTTGCTGATGCTCAGTGCACAACCATAGCCAGTTTTCAGAAAGAAAGTCTCGCTGAAAAGAAAAAAGAAAGTCTTCAGCCCCCAGTCTTAGTAATGATCGCACCTTGGCTCCCGGTGGCTTTGCAAACCTTTTGAAGGATATCTTGGTGGTGAATTATTCTGCACTCTCAGAACTGGCCGAACCAGCAAGGTGTGAAACCTCTAGTTTGCATGAGCAACATAAGGTGTTTTACAGGCAGAAACGAGAAAGAAATTTCTTGTCTGCAAAGTTGGTGAGACAGGAAAAGCTCACAAATGGACACACTATTGCAGTGACAACATTCTGAGCCAAAGAATCATCGGTTGAAAGATAAAACCCTGGTAGCAGAAGATGTGTGTCCAGCCTGGAAGGCAGGACCAGCAACGCCATTTTCAGGAACAAGTACACAATGGATACAAGGGCCGCTTGCCAAAAAGTGATTAGGGGGCTCATGAAAGGGTCAGCAGAGTCTTGAACCAGGTGCGGCTGCTCTAAGAGCAGGGTCGGACAGGCTGCAAGGCTGTGCGCCCACGGATGTGGGTCTACTGGGGTGTGCAGCCAAGTCTTTCTCACCCTGGGTTTGCAGTCTTGCTGCATTTTCAGGAATTAAAGTGCGGAGACTGTCTCATAAATTCTATAGAAAATCCCCCCGAGACCCAAGTCTGACGGGGTGTCATGTATTTAATACTGTTAGAGGCACATACAATAGTCTGAATAGATACCGATCAATGGAGATGGGTTAATTGATGAAAAGCCTCTTGACTCAGCTCTGCATTCATCAGCAGAATGCATTTAATTAAGCATATTACTTTTCCGGGCCTTAATCTATAAGCCTGAAAAGTGAGGGGACAGACCATGGGTGACCACTGTAATTCGGTAATCCTGTTTGGTCAAGCTGTCAAGAGCTATCCAAGCTTGGATTTTAGCAATGTGGTTTCAGTCCTAAACCTCTGGCTAGGCTGTGAACATATTCTTTGCAGATTCTGTTACTTTGAACAGGATTCTCAATTCACAAATGCCCAGGCAGTACCAAGTCCCCATGGCGGATGCCACTGCCCTTAGCTTCTCACTCTGACGCTGCACTCCAGGGGAGAAATCAAGGGTGGACATTTACCTCTTTCTTGAAAGGTGGGCATGTTCCTTCTCATGACTCAGGGTTCGGCCATCAGAAGGGGTGGAGTCTGCCGGGGTGTCAGGCCTCGACGTCATCAGGGGCCACCTGTGGGCATGTTCTCAGGACGCTCCTTTTCTCCAGGCATGCCCCTGGAGTGCTCTGTGTGCAGCATGCACTTTCCACACCTTCCGCTTGCTTGACGGGAGGCTTTGCTTCCACAGAAACGTCCTGATCTTGGTTATTCTTTTGGAAGATAACCCTTCAAAGAGCTTCTGGTTTTTTTTTTCACATGAAATAATACATGAAACTGTCCGAGTCAGCAGGCATTGGCTAAGGAGACGTAGCATCGGGTTTCTAACATGCATGATATTAATACTCTTAATGAATTAAAAGTTAGTTTCCTGCGGGAGAGGCCTGGTAGCATTGGGATTAGAACTTGAGGACAAATAGCTCAGCAAAGGCCCTTAAGTGAGCATTTGAAGCCAAGCATATTCAGAGCTGTCATGAACAAATCCCCACGCCATGATGTTCTAGGGAAGAGATGGGCGTTGGAGGAGCTTTTTGACTTTAAGAAACTCAGTCTAGTGTGCAAGAAGACACGTGAGCAGCTACCTCTCACAGGAGACTCTTTGAAAAGTATAAACCAAGACTGGCACCGAGGATGTGAGACTAACTTTCAGGAGGATCATGTTGGGAGAACTCAAGGAGAGATGGTGTTCCCTTGTGCAGTCTCAAGCGTGGGTGGGTGGGTCCCACTCTGGGGGCACTGATGAGAAGAATAGGAATTCCAGACCAAATAAACAGCAGAGAAAACCAGGGCATTGTTTTAGAAATGTTCCTGCAAAACACTAGATAATCCTTACTGAGTGATTATTATATGTCAGGCAAAATTCTTAGCACCCAACGTGGAGGGGCTGATTTAATTTTCAACTGAAGCCTGCAAGAAGATACGGTTGTCAAGCCCATGAGACAGATAAGGAAACTGAGTCATAGACAAGTTAAGAAATCCATTCACAGCAGGGGCAGTGGCTCAAGCCTGTCATCCCAGCACTTTGGGAAGCTGAGGTGAGAGGATTGCCTAAGCCCATGTGTTTGAGAACAGCCTGGGCAACTTGGTGAGACCTCATCTCTACAATAAATCAAAAAATTAGGTGAGTGTGGTAGTGCTTGCCTGTCATTTTGGGTACTTGACAGACTGAGGTGGAAGGATAGCTGGAGTCCAGCAGGCTGACACTGGGGTGGCCGTGAGCATGCCACTGTACTCCAGCCTGGGTGACGGAGCAAGACTTCAACTCACAAAAAAAAAAAAGAAGCCCACCCACAATCACATAGCTGGGTGGGAGTGGGTCAGGATTCAGGCCACCCCCACAGCCCAAGGTGCTAGTGTCTACACTGCAAGTAGAGATGCAAGGTGGATGGAAACCCAAGGGTGGAGGGCTTCTGTGGCATCCAGAGGCATGGCACTTCATAAACAAATTACCGAGGAGAAGAAAGAATCCCGTTTTTGTCCTTGAAAGGAAAAGATATAAAAAATCAAAAAGACTTTCTATCATTTGGCAATTATTTGGAACTCTGCGGTGCCATCTGTAGCATCCAGCCACGTGAGGCTAGGAGTGTTTGAAATATGACTTGCCTAAGTTGAGGCTTCAAGGATTTCATGTCACCGAAAGAATGCAAAATATCTTACTGAGAATATCACATATAGATGCATATTGAATTGATATTACAGATATATTGGTTTAACACAATATTTCTCACAACTAGATTTACTTTTTTAAACTTTTGCTAATAGGGCTATCAGACATTTAAGTGTACCTGCAGGACTCGTATCAAATTCCTATTGGGCCATGTTGGTCTACAGTATTTGCAACCTGAGTTGGATATTTAGCTTACCCACTCTGATGGAGTACTTCCTCACCAAACTGGTCTTTTAACCACATTCCTTCCTTGCTTTCTGGCTATTTGCAAGAAAAATGGTCAAAGGCTCCCCCTTTGTAAAAGTTTGAGAGGCCCTACAATTTCCTTTGTCACTTGTTGCCAACCACAAACAAATGATGATGTGCTCTGTGGATGGGGAGTCAACATTTGACAAGGGCATAAGGGCAAGAAAATTTCCAGCCTTTGAACATTGTGAAGTAAAAGTGCTTTCAGAGGATCCCACTAGAATGGCACAGGTGGGCATGATGGGTCTGCCTCATCGTCAAAGAACCCAAGGAGTCGAAAGGAAACTCTAACTACAACCCCAACAGGCCACAAACCATAGCTATTAATACAAACTAACTTGCATCCCTGCCTATCTGTCACCATCTCATTTTTTAAAACTTGTGAAAATACGTAATCCCGACGAGACTTCAACGGGGTATAAATACCAGCAGCCAAAGGAGATACAGTACATTGATCTGATCGTCTCTGAAAGATCAGCTGTCCTTTGACCTGGTTGGTCTGGTACAGGAGCTACTGACTTCAACTTCCTCGGCCCAACTCTCTCCGAAGCCATGAATTACTCAAGTTACGTCTTGGCTTTTCAGCTCTGTGTCATTTTGGGTTCTTCTGGCTATTACTGCCAGACCAGACTCATAAATGAGACAGAAAAACTGAAGAGCTATTTTGTAAGTATCACCTTTCAATAATAATTGTTTGTGGTTGAGAACGACTGAGCGTTGACTTGCGGGAGTGTCTCTGATAGGCGGTCATGGCTGGTCCACAGTCATTTTGAGAAGACGTGGTGTTATTTTGCTAATTGTTGACTGGATGGCTTTCTTGACTAAATAATCTAAATACCGCTTTAACTCTCTGCTCAATTTGTATAGAGACTTAGAGGGGCTCATGAATCTTCCAAAAGATGGGCATAATATGGACATGAAGCATAATGATGTTGATGATTTTGTGGGAGAGTCCACTCAGTGGTAATAAGCCAAGGATAAGCATACTGAAAACACGACTGGCTATTAGTTTCTGATTTCCCAGACTACTGTGAAGGCGATGGTAGAGGGTCAAGATTAGCATTAAAGATGGTGATAGGAAACAATTTGTGAATTAAGGCAGAGGAAGGCGAGGTCCTTAAAGCTTTGGCTTCAACAAAGCACAAGGGTTTTTCTCCAAAAAGTGATAGATGCTTCATCTCTATTACCTGTGAATTACTCCTGAACACATTGCTCATGGGATTTTGCAGGACTTATGATTCTGGCTTCGGAATTTAAAAAACTTTGTTCTATGGGTTTCTTTTTAAATTGTATTTATGGTTAGTGAAAATAGTTTTTACGTTTTAAATGTTTTATTCTTTGCTTACATGTTAGCTATTATGATGAAAGCCATTCTAATAATAATGTTCAAACCTCCACTATCGATTTCATTCTTTCCACATGAAATCAAATCTCAAACACACACACACACACACACACACACACACACACACACACACACACACACACACACACACACTGGGAGCTGTCTTCTAAAGCGCCCATAATTGTACTCTACGTGAGGGCACAGGTAGATGTGATAGCAACCTGTACCATCGGAGGGCAGTATCTTATAGTGGGAGGGCATTCCTTTTTCTTTTCTTCCCCCATCATGCTTGCAAATACTTTCTTGAGCTTGCTATAGTTTTGGGGAATTGCCAGTTTTGTTGAGTTCTTTTGGGACGCTGCACCATAGGGCTGCATGAGACGGCCATAAAGCTGGAGGGGCAGCACGGTCTGGCTGTCCCTGACAATAAGAGCTTTTGGAAACATTTGACTGCTAGAGCAAACCCAAAAGGTGGAAAGGTGGATACTGTCAGCCTCTGAGTGCGGTGAAATTTGAAGTTCATGTGTATGCAATTTCTGACCCATCTTTTTCTCTTCTTTTTCCAGGACGCTGATGAGTCCGATGTGTCGGATAACGGGACTCTTTTCTTAGACGTCATGAGAAGCTGGAAAGAGGTAAGCAGAACATTCCCACCTGGTGAGTTTCCCTGTCGCTTGCGTTCTCGTGGGCACATGCACAATCATCCTCTCTCTGTGCCCTTTTCTCCCAAGGAGGGCGACCGAAAAATCATCCAGAGCCAGATAGTCTCCTTCTACTTCAAGCTCTTTGAAAACCTTAAAGACAACCAGCACATCAAGAATAGCGTGAACACCATCAAAGAAGACATGATCGTCAAGTTTTTCAACAGTGACAAAGACAAAGTCGAGGCATTCAAAAACCTGACTTTCCTTTCGGTAAGGCTGGGTGAATCCTTTGATTTCATGGCAGAGGTTCTTGCAAAGCATGTGGCTCCCAGAAAGTAGAAATGAGCCATTTAACTGCGGCTGCAGCTGTGAGATCAACCCACGGCCAAAGCCCTCCCCTGCTAGTTCTGTCAGTGCTTTGAGAGACTTTGCAGAGTCAGTCTGGGAACCACCCGAATGTGTACCTTGAGAAATGCTGCCGTTATGACAGTTGTGTGAGGACAGGTGAATGGACAAGTCCAGTAGGAGGAAGCAGGAGGAGTGGGGGCAGGGCTGAGAAGCCGCTCTCTCACTGGCCCCCGCTTGTGCGGTGGAAAGTCTCTTGCGCTGGGCGGGAGGCCCTGTGTCTTCACGGAAAGAGCTGTGGGAGGGGCTGAGAAGATTTCTTCTCCTCCCGGCCCGGCCACCGGCCACTGAGGAGCTGTGACCTCAGATGAGTGCCTTACCTGCCTGGGGCTCAGTTTCCTCATCGGAAAAGAGATCTGTTGGGTTCACTGCTGAAGCTCAATGGTCTCCTTTGTTCCACAACTCTAGAATGCCATGAACAGAAAGTTCAGGGACCGCTGGCTGCTGTCAACTCCTGCCTTGTGGGAGGTCCTGAGGGAGCTCTCGGCTAGTGTCAATCGCTGACATGTTTTAGACATGTTTTTCCCTTTCGTGTTTTGTCCTGTAGCCTAGGACCCCTCGTCGCCCGCAGAAATTGGCAAAGTGGCCACAGTGTTCCTAGCATTAGAAAGAAATGTCAGGGCTGAGCCAGGAGGAAAGTTGACAGCTCGCATTTTATTAAACATGAGGTCATCTAAATGGCTGATTGGTCAGAGCAAAGAAGAGCAAATAGTTCCGTTTGCTGGCATGGTGCAGAAAAAGTAGTTGCGATTCCTAACTTTAAATTGCTGCATCAGTGAGCCATAAGTATAATCAGTGTTTACTTTTAAGGCCATTGTGGAAATGACGAGACTGACCAACGTTTGGGGAAATTGAAAACCACAGTTTTCACTGGTCTTAGATTTGGTGTTTGACTAAGTACTTAACCCATATCCGAGGTCCTCAGACTCGGTCCCCTGAGGAGCTTAGCGGCCTCTGAGTCCTTCCCCGAGGCCTCTGAGTCCTTCCCTGGGCCTCCAGGTTGATCTACCATCCACCTGAGGTGAAACCCTTGGCCTACGGGGACTCATTTGATGCCTGAAGCAGAGACTCACTAAAGTACCAGGGGATCTTGTTGGTAGACTGGTGATGTGGATGAGAAAACAAAGGTTGGAGAGGCCAAGTGGCTCCAAGTCAGAATTGCGGCACGCACCGGATTCAAACCCACCTTAAAAGTTGGCCCCACATCAGGGGTCCTTCCACCGTCTGGTTTTGAAATTCTGTGGTGGCCGACTTCAGGCCATGCGGCATGCCCACCGTGTTCCTGCACAGCTGGCATTTGCGTGACATGTTCAGCCTCAAGTGCCGGAGAAGGCGCTGTTGTGCATCAAAGGGACAGGGTGCTTGTCAGAACCCGCTTTTGTTCGGGAACCCGCCCCTGCTCCCTGATCGTGACAGAACAGAACGTCCTGCCGGCGTGTAGGCCTGACGTGAGCTTCTGTTTCCTTTCTCAACAGGTGAACGACACGCAGATCCAGCGCAAGGCGATCCATGAGCTCTTGCAGGTGGTGCTGAATCTGGCGCCAAGATCCAACCTGAAGAGGAAGAGGAGCCAGATGCTGTTTCGAGGCCGGAGAGCGCCGAAATGAGCGTGGTCCTGCCGGCTGCACTTGAATTTCTAAGCCTAAGTCTATTTATTGATATTTAACATTATTTATATGGGGATGTGTTTTTAGACTCATTCATCAAACAAGTATTTATAAGAGCCACTTTTATGTCATGAAATGAATATCTATTAATATATGTATTATTTATAATCCCTGCCCTCCCACAACTTGACCCTCTGTTTTCTGACTCATCTGGCCAGACTGGGTGGTTGCAAGGCTGTCTCGAGGGGCCAGCGAGGCGGTGGCCCTGAGGACACCCTGCGGCTTGGATGCTGCTTCAGTGAGATGACACCACCCACGTGCGCCTGGCTGGGTGCGTGTCTGTGTTCCGCGCCTCTGCTCTCGTGGCCCTGGCCAAAACAGTGCCTCATGGGCCCTCAGTCTGGTCTTTCCAAATACCGTTGACAACTGTGACTGTACCCACATGGATGTAATTCACTGGTTTAGTTTCCCAACACCTAGCATGCATGAATAAAGTGTCACTTCACAACCTTTTGTGCAGCGTCAAACTTTCTCTCAGCGGCCCTGGGGGGGCGGGAGTTTTCAGCGGTGACGTCTCGGTGACGTCTCAGAGCCGCCTCAGAGCCGCGCAGGCTGCTTCGGTGTGCTCCTCCCCCCAGCAGTCGTTGAACTTCCTGTCTCGGGCTGGTAGCTCTTCGAGTTACCTTTCCAAGACATGGATTATGTCCCCATTGGGCTCAGAGCTTCTGCGGTGGAACATGGTTTAAATGGCCGAGAGAGGCACAGAGAGACTTATTTCTACCCCTCCTCCATCTCCTCTACTCCATCCCAGTCTCTGCCTCTCCCCCCGTCCACCGGCCACTGTAGGCCCACCCTGCTTGCTGACTGTGGGACTGTGGGCGTAAGCCTGGGAGGAGGCCTGGATTGGAATCCGGGTTATACAAGCAGTATGACGGTCAGTGAATTATCAGTATTCTCTAAGCTTCAGTCTCCCTGACTAACACAGAGAAATCATTGTGCGTTCCTGGTCATATTGTGGTGAGAGGCCATTCTTACACTCAGATGCTTGCCTACCAGGTGCCTGGTGCTGTTCCAGGTACTTGGGATACCCTAGTCAGCAAAACAGACAGAATCCCTGCCCTTGGGGAGTTTGAAATGGGGGGGGCTGGTCAATAAACAAGATACAAAGCAAATTGCATATTCGAAGGTCATGGGAACCATGGATAAAAGTCAGAGTAGAACAGTTGGGGGAGTTGAGTGCACCCGGGGCGGTGGGGGGGAGTGGATGGGCCGGAAGTTTGTGTGGAGAAATGACACTTGGCCTCCTGGAAGAGAGGACACCTGAGGAGGCTCCTGCGGGAGGCAGACTCCAGGCAGGGGCACCATCCCTGCAAAGACTCCGAAGTGGAGATTTGCCCGGAGGCGCGGGGAGCCAGCAGAGCAGCGTGGGGGGCCCGAAAGACAGGAGCAAAGAGCAGCCACCGTGGGGGAGGGATGCGGGGGAGGCCGTGTCCGTGGGGGAGAGCCAGCTCGTCACTGGAGCAGGAGGACATTGAGGACAGGATGCACCTGGCTCGTTCCAGGGAGTCAGGTAAGAGCGGAGGCCACAGAAGTGATGGGGCTGGGGGACGTGCTGTGGGTCTGAGGGACTGCCGATCGCCAGCTCAGGCCAGGAGGAGGGTAGAGAGAGGTTTGCTCTGCAGCTTTGGGTCATGCAGCAGCGGCAAGAGCGAGTGTCGAGGGAGCGCGAGGGTCCGGAGGTCCTTCCCGCGAGACCACTGACCCTCCCCAGCAGCAGCGGGCAGGCGAAATTGTTCATGCAAAGGATCACATTAGCCACTGACAGCGACTGGCGGTCGCTATGTTGATTATTGAGTAACAAGTGACAGTGGAGAGGCCTGACTCCAAAGTGTTTGCATCCTGGACGACGCAAGATGGAAAAGAAATGGGGCTGGTCTTGGCACAACCACAGCTGGTGTGGGCTGCTTCCAGCGTCTCCTCGCTTGTTGGTGTTGAGACTGACGGATGCAGACCTCAAGGTGTGAACGGACGGAGGATGATGGGGAGACTGACTTACCTGAACCACCCTTTGGGGAAGGACTGGAACGACCTCCGCCAGTCGCCTTGGGAACCACGGAAATGAAGCCTCCGAGACGGGTCTTGACCCAGGGCTAGGGAAGCCTCCCGCTCTCTGAGGCTGGGGTTGGTTTGGGCCAGACTGTGCCACACCGAGAGACAGAGATGGTGTCAGGTGCTGGGAAGATCCCCAGGGCGAGGCGGGGAGAAGGTCCTCGGGGGGACCTTGAGTGGAGACTGGCCTGCGCAGTGGTTGCCAGACATTCTCTGTGTGGTGTGTTCCTTCTCTCATGAACACTCCTGGTTTTGCTGCTTGAACACCAGGGTTTCGCCAAGGTCTCGCTGCTGGCCACACGGAAAGCCAACTCACGGAGACATTGAGTGTTGCCGAGGAGGAGACTTTTCAGGGCGGGTGATGTCAGCCAGGAGACAGGAGACAAATTTCAAAACTATCTGACTAACACAAGGAGGGAGGTACACCCCCTAAAATGAAATTCGTTTTGGAGGACAGGTCCCTTATAGTGCAGGCCTCCCCTGCTAGGTGAGTGCTCTAGGAATCCGTCGGTATCCGTGGACCACAGTGTTGCTGTGAGAGACAGCGCTTGGCTTCAGTGAATTCTTTTGGAGATTCTTTCAAGATGTTTGCCCATTTCCTGATGGGTGACTGACGAGCACACCTGCTGATACCGTGCTGAGAGTTCAGCAGTTTTTGACCAACACTGGCATGACCCCTGCTCCCCACCCTCCGTATTCACCCCATCTCACCCCAAGTGACGTTTTCTTGTTTTCGCATATGAAAAAAGTCCTCAAAAAGGAAAACATTTTGCTGATGTGGAAGGGGTGAAACAAAAAATAGCAGAAACACAAAGACATCAAAACTGATGAGTTCAGAAACTGTTATGAACAGTGGAAAAAAGCATCTATATAGGTGTATTATAAATAAATTCCATTTTTGTGGGTCCCCCTTGCAGGAAAGAAATGCAATCACATGTAGGAAAACAGGATTTAGGGAGGGGTAAGGAGAAGGGATTGGTCAACAGACAGTGAGTGGCTCTGATTGATGAGGGGTCTGACATCTTACTGTCCAGACACGGTGATCTGGTGAGTTTCAGTTCCTTCAGGTCAGGAGTCCTGACTGCAGGTTTCCCGAGAAAGGAATTCAGACAGGACAAATGTTTGGTCAGGCCCAATACAGAGTATGTGGCTTACAATCCAGTGCCGCACAAAAGACGCAAAGAATGGCACAGATGTTAGATTGGAAAATAGTGTATTTAGAAAGTAAATGAGAGAGAGAGAGAAAAAAAATTCACCTCCCCAACATAGGGGAGGGGGCCAAAGCTAAGAAGACATGGTGGCCACAGCTCAAGGAGCACATGGCCAGACCAGAGCTTAGCAGAGCAATGGCTAGAAAGTAAATTGGAGAGAGAGAGAGAGGAGATTCACCTCTCCAGGATAGGAGAGGGGACCAAAGTTTAGGAAACATGGCAGTGACCACAGCTCAGAGAGCACATGGCCACACCAGAGTTTAGTAAAGCAATGGCCACTGCTGTTTGAAGTTGGATGCCTTTTCACCCTTCCCTTTGATGAAGGCAGGTTGTTAAGGTAATTGGGTGGTGATCTGCTCCATGTCATCATGGAGGGCAGGTGAGCACAGGTACTGACGTCACATGATGGACAGCAGGCAGATGGGTGGGTTAGTCACATGTCTGCTACCGTGTTGATGGAGTCTATCTGTGTCATGAAGGTCAGGAAGGGCTCAAGAGGTCAACTTGTTTAAGAAACAAGTGGGAGAGGGAATTTGTAGAACAATTATTCATAGCTACCTCTGAGACACCGGTTCTGTCCTTGACTAGTGATTAGAGGGTAAATTAAAGTGAACTGCTAGAGAGACACGACAAATCTAGGCAATGTTAAAACAGCTGCTCATTGAGTATATTGACTCCATGTTATGTCCTTTCAACAAATGTAAGTTTCTCAAGTTTTAAGACTGGAGTGTCAATTTCTATGCTTATTCAGAAACAAGTGAATGTCAGAAAGGGAGATTAGGATAAACCCCATGACAGCAAGTTGGAAATGGACATACCAGCATGAACCCATGGTCTTCAACATATAAAGGTTGGCACAGAAAGAAATAATGGATGTATTTGTCCACAGGTGTATCCCCAACCTTGTGTGGACATGGAGGCAGCAACATCCCAGGGACCATGAAGACCCTGGTGCCCAGAACTTTCTGAAAGCAGCTCTCTGCTGGAAGGAGCAGGGCTCCTTAGGGAGTTGGGGGCAGAATGACCAGGGTGGGGGCAGGGAAAGGACGAGGTGTGCCTCACTGTGCCAGAAAGCAGGACGTAGTACTCAGAGAATGATGGAGACTCATGGAAAGGCACAGAGACCAGCTTGGTGGGACCCATGGATCAGATACAGGAAAATCTGAGCATCAAAATAAATAGTGATAGTATGGCTGGGTTCAGTAGCTCAACCTGTCATTCCAGCATTTTGGGAGGCCGAGGTGAGTGGATTGCCTGAGCCCACAGGTTTGAGATCAACTTGGGCAACTTGGCAAGACCTCGTCTCTACAATAAATCAGAAATGAGCCGGGTGTGGTAGCGCACGCCTGTAGTTCTGGCTGTTTGGAAGGCTGCAGCGGAAGGATTGCCAGAGCCCAGCAGGTCGATGCTGGGGTGGCCATGAGCATGCCACGGCACTCCAGCTTGGGTGACAGAGTGAGACTCCAACTCAAAAAACTACAAATAAAACTAACTAAATAAACAGTGAGAGGAATGTATCATAACCCACCAAATCCAACAGGAAACCACGAGTTCATTTTGACGTAGAGAAACAAGGGGAAAGTCTGGAGAGGAGTGTGGTGTCCGCATCGCCGCCAGGCATCTCCCCTCCAAGTGCGTGTCGACGGCAAATCGGGAGGGGGTGATTCTGCAGCAGGGAGG